ACTGTACTGGTATCCAGAATTGGTCCGAATCTTTGCGAGTGCTACAGGGAGATCCGAGGTGCAAGAAGAGGACTAGACACCCTTGACGATCGGATGGAAAATGTTTGGATAAGTATTGAACCTCGACTAGCAATAGTTCGATGGTTCCCGGGGGCTGTTCCGAGCGGTCTGAGGGTGCACATGAAGGAGCATCTTCACCAACTGCAGTTCCTCCTGCACACTTCCTACAAAAAACTCGACAAGACTACGGACAGAAACAGGGGGACCTTGGTGAATACGATAAAGTTTGCTCTTTTTCAAAAACGCTTGCTTGAAAAAGATGTCTCCGCTTTGGAGAAGTGGAGGGACGCTTTCACTTCAACCTTTCCTACACTATCGATTCCGCAAAACCTTGAACCGGAGTCCTTTCAATAGAAGCGAGCGAGGGTCTTCGGCCGTTGGTAGTCCTGTGATGCATCCACTGTTAACGGTCTACCGGTATGGGAGGGGCATGGTAGGGGAGGTTGTTGCAAATTTGTTTAGAGATCCCTGGCTTTATCAGACAGTTTCAGTGGCTATCCTCATGGGCATTGTGTTTGTTTAGTAGAGTTTAAGTGAACTCAGAGCAGGACACAGAATTCACGTTTTTCCTCTTTTAAATTCCATAGTCTAGGCCGGAGCCAGGAAATATATCAAGTCATTCCACCACCACTAGGATGCCCTAAACCACTATCTTGTGAAGGATTGGCTTACTTCTACTGTAGGTTGCTATGGTATTGTTCTGTGAAAAACAGTATCGTATCTTTTAATGCCAAGTTGTCCATCTTGCTCTCAATCCCAGGAAACCCCAACTTCAAATTCCTAACAGAGAAAAACCCTCTCCCACATCTTTGGATGATCATTTACAGCCCATCCAACAACCGAGCCTCTGACTGTGTACCAAACCATTTTCATGACCGAGTTGAAGCCGGCCACCATGTTTTGGTAGTGGGCGGCGGGGGTAAAAGTTCGACTGGGGATGAGGAATAATAAATTCGCTTCCTTCTTGGCAAGAGTAGTTGGTGGCCGGCGTGAGACCCTCACCCACTGGGAACAATTATACAATAGGCTCCCCTTCGGACCTAACACCACCCATGCCAAACGAATCCCACTCCCTGGTCAAAGCCACTCTTTCCCAACCAATAGCCCATCAAGAGCCCCCACTTGCAAAAATTGCCCCCTCATCCCTGGTGGGGGGCCCTATCTCCGCTACCTACTATAACAGGCGTGGGAATAAGTGAATAAATAAAGAAGCGCGATCCTAACAGCTCGAAGAATGCTAACAGATACCGACCTCAATGGGTATTTGAAGAAGACATTTACAGTACTTGCCTATTGTCAGTATGGATTGTTATTTCGCTATAGTGAGCGCTCCGGATTTTTGCTCTCGGTTAGTTCTGCACCATCGTAAAGGTCAGGGCTCGAAATAATCAATGGAATCGGAGTCAAAGATCGGTTGAAAGGTATCATAAGGATTGTGAGTATGCAATGTTTAGAAGCGATCGCGCTTAAATTTGGGTAACCTTGGCCGCTGGCACCAAAGTTTCCTGATTTTATATTTATTGACAACACCATACACTTCGCCCTAAAAAAACTAGAGAACACAACTACCACAATTCAATAAATACTACCTCTCATCACTTTATCTTCAGAAGTCAAATAAAACCTATGTAATCGCACGGTTCCCGAGTTTGGATATTGTTGTAGCATTTTCTTGGGGAGAACAACAAGTGTTGTAGCTGCGATCGGTAACACTGATGCATTTTTTTCCTCCATGTATGTATTCATGTCCCCGGCGTTGCGGCTGTTTTTCAACGGTTTGGGTGAACCAAGAGCGAGACTCGTCGCTTGCGCATTTCTCCTTACCCCGCTGGTGTGCGACAATATAAAGTGTCCTGCTGCGCCACAGGCAGACTGTCCGAATCCCCACAACTTCTCACTCGAGTTTCTCTATTTTAGACCGGAAATATGAGACATCAAGTCGTCGCATCCGCCATCACCAGTCCCAGCAGATTGGACGATGAACAAATGCCCACTGCCTCCTGTAGTCAGAGATAGGACTAGTGGATGGGAACGTGTTGATTATTCTCCCGATCATTGCAGTCGCTCTTTTTGTTTACTTTATTTGTAAGATATCTCGCGAATGTTTATCACCACTTCATTTCTTCATAATAATAATAATATACGGCAGGTATCTGCTGGGGGTATGGCGTAGACGGCAAGATGGCAGGAGCTTGTTTGATCTTTCTCTTATTTCCCCGCTTGTTTTTTACTAGTGCCATCGCTTGGAAGTTTTTAATGGGGTAGAGAGAATATCTACAGGAAATACAGTGTGGATGGTGAGCTGGGAGGATCCTGTTTAGAAACTCATAAATGGTGTTTCCGTATTGCTTAGTTGGGTTATCGTTTGTTGGCTCAAGTGGAGTGAAATCGCGTACTGTACAGTATAGTACCGTACAGTACACGAGCCGAACAACGCCAAATGGTCGAAATTCGTAGTTACAGAAATCACAATTTGCACCCCCATCTCTTAATCGATTAAAACGAGAAATATATGGATAGGTGGCCGAGGACCTGGCGGTTCTGGAATTCGTGTTTCTGTGGTAAGTCCACTTGTTTTGAGCCCGGCTTTCGTCAACCGGCCTAACCGATTCCAAGGCCGGTCCTATGGGCTGGGAATTTTCTATGGCTGCCGATGCAGGGGGACACCGTCCTAAATATCGCCAATTTCTCATTGCCACAGTTTGGGTAATATTTCACCATATTCCCCAAAAAATTTAATTTCTCAATTATGGAGTACCTGGGATCACTGTTTTACGGAGAATCGATCTACTTCCACGGCTGTTGGCTGATCTGGTGCTGGGAAAAGGAGCGTTTCTGGCGCAAAAGAGAACAATCAACGACTGCGCCTATCAGCCTGGTGTCACCTAAGCGGTTGCGACTGAGTCCTTCAGCCCTCGAGCTCGGGACCAACCAGGCTCTCGATTCCGAGAACCCCCACTTCACATCCGGAAAAATAAAAAGACAAGACCGCTCTCAAATTCCCTTATTATCGCTTGCGATCTATCCGATAACCGCACCAACTCTGTCTGGGTACGAAGATGCTCGGGTACTCCAAATGCGCCTCAGAAAAAACATCCCATGATATTTCAAAGTCTATTAGTAATTTGCTATACGAAGTGCTCGGGTATCTAAACCCGGTAACAAAAATAAACCCTGAATTCTTGGCGTGTGTCAGCGCGTGTGAGACTCTACCTGATCACAGTTCTTACTATTTCCGCTACCGGTATTACATCATATTAGTACTAAGGTGGTACAAGAAACAAGCGGACCAATAAACGGGCTAAAATTTAATAAAAATGGATTATTGCCAAGACACTTTGAGCGTGTGGTAGTACAATCGCCAAGAATCACGGATGCCTTTCTAGATCAAAAGGAGCAAGGGATAATATTTTAACCCTCACCACGGATGTTCTCTTCTCCTGCCACATCACTAGTGGCAGATCTCACACCTACGCATGGCCCAAAGCCGGATTCCACCACATCATATTTAGCAGGACCCGTCCGCCTCGCGACCAGATTAGGGGAAGCAATGTTCTCCCCTCAATCTCCCTGCCCCGTAGGGTGGGACTCCTACGCTCGCCCCTGCCATGATACACAGGATGGATCTCGATGATAGGATAGGGAATCCGACTCCTGTACACTCCCACGGATATTGAATAGAAGTTGGCTGGCTCTTGACGTCTTAGCTGCTGTGCCGGTTAACCGGTTATTTCACTTAATATGCCCTTGAGAACAGATACTTACCTCGGAGAGTGGAAGATGGATTAGACCCTTTTTGTTTCCTTTTTTCCCACATGAAGTTATAGACAACGGTACCGCCCTATCAAGCGCATTTGGGTGCATGGCGGGAACCAGTACATTCTCAAGAGAAGAGAAACTGTCTCGCGTTAAGAAGGATAATCACAGACGGAACCCGAGCCACACGGGGGTACTACTGTAGAATTCCGTACGGTATCCCTAAAGTATTATATGGCGATTCCCTTCACGGCATTGTGCGACGTGTTTTATTGCTGACTGGCACAAATTTCGACAGTTCCTATACTCGAGTACATCCCCTCAATGCTTCCCGTGCGCCTGTATATGATACCCAACCTAAAAACCTTTTCCCTGCCAAGACGATCTCCGTCCTAAACTCTCAGTTCAGCCAGTGCCAACGCGGAAACCTACTGTTACAGCAACCTATTTTCTTCCCAAAGTTCGTCCAGCATGTAACCGATCACATTCCCCACATGCAGTACCCCCCTACCGGTCGATAAAGGGAATTGCTGAGAGTGTGTGCATTTTTTGACAAAGAGCAAACACCACTTCCGCAGAAACAAAACCTAAAAAAAAGAGACGAAACAGCCGGCGGCGGCAGCGGATGGGATTGTTGTGTTGGAGGGAGCTGTGTTTAGGAACCTGCAACTTTCTTGCTTTCTCTTTTTTGCTTTACCGGTCGTTCAACTACTCGTGGCTCCAGGGGTAACTTAGCCAGGGTAATTGCTTTTACTTAACACCAGCATCGTATTTTACCCGAAAGCGAGCACCGTTACACAACCCAGCTAACAAATAAAAAAGGTCAGGTCCAATTCTCAGATACCGCATGTAGGATATGAGTGCAGCACCTTCCGAGGGAGGAGATAGATGTCATAGTGGCTTTTGAGTCTTTGTGCGCGCGCTACTACGATGGCCTGGAATATCGCGAGGGATAACCATGAAATGCTGATCTTTCGGGGTTGGCACTGTGATCGAAACGAAGGTAAAAGGGTAAGTACAGTACAGCACAAGGTTTGCAAGAATGTGCTAGTACACGTTTAAAGAAAAGTATTAAAATGGAATAACTGAACCGGTAAACATGAGAGGAAAAAGGAAAGAAAGGGAGGGTATGATTTTGACGAAATAGTGCTTGAACGAAGTGCTCGAGTACTACAATTGAACATCTAGCTAGCTATAACTCGCTCTCTTGCGAGCGAGTGAGAGACAAGGAAGAAGAAAACATCACCAACATCACCCTCAAGCCTCCGCTCCAAGTCCCACCGGGAAATCCTCTGGTGACACTCCCTCCTCTCGGCTTCTCTCTGCCGCTCAACATAAGCTTGTTTCTCCACTGTCCACGGCACAGAGCTATCACTCGCCCCCCGACGCACCCGATCCACGGCGTGAATGGTATTGCAGTGCCAGAAGACGTGGTCGCCCGGCGAGATGCGGGGCATGTGCGTCATTGCGTCGTCGAGGCGGAGGTGGGGATGTGTTGAATTGCTGTATTCCTGACATGCACCCTGGACAGAATTTGGGAAGTGAGGAGTTGCGCTAAGAGTTGGGGGATTGGAGAGGGTAAAGAATGGACGCAGGACTGGGTATGCTGTTGTGTGTTTTAGCAGTGGGTTTACCATGAGGGTGCCCTCGCCGGGGGATGTGGTTGATAAGGAGAGCTGGGCTTGTTAGCAGACAGGTTAGGTGGGTGTCGATGGACTTACCCAGCCCTGCCAACTCCTCCAGACTCCACAACTGCCCGTTCCGTCGTACATATCCATCTTTGCATGGACCCTGTGATCCGTTTTATACGCATCATACTCCTCCCATTGCCCAGTCCAGATCTTCTCATAGCAGCGACAATACTCTGGATCTTCCCAGCGCTCCACACTACCTCCGTCTATGTGCGCCCCAAGAGCAAAGCCTGCATCACCAGGCTGGCGGATACGGAAGCGGTCAGCATAAGGCAGACACACGGAGGTGTCCACCACCGATGACGGGAGAGAAGAATGCCTGAGAGAATTTACAAAACCCTGGGAGGCCACAAGTGATGGATGGGATCTCGCGGCGAGCTGGGCTGGAGACCAATATAGCTCGTAGACCGCCGGTGAGTTAGCGGGGGGCGCTGTGATTATTAGCTCTGAGATGTAAATGTAGTTTCAGAGAGAAGAAACCTGCTGCCCGGGGGTTGCGTTTGATGTGCTCTTTTAAAGAGTCCTTCATGGCCAGAGCTTTCTGGTACTGCAGGACATTCTTAATAACGACCACACCTCGTTTCTTGATCCCTTCTATCTTCTCTTTGGAGAGACTAGCAAGTTCTTTGAAATTAACTTTTGGGATAATCTATCAATCCATTAGCACCAACTCCCCCACCTAGAAGAGAACCTAGGCGGTGAGAAAAATAGACTAACATCACTCCCAAACTTCTTCACCGCCGCCGTCTCCCTGTCAAGATCAAGCAATAACCTCTCTCAGGACTCTACCAGGATCCTCCCTAGTCCAGATGCAAACCACCTTTTAAGGTCAACATACCTATCCGGTAACAGGGGCGGTGCGATCCCTGAGAGTGAAGGAAAGACTGAAGAAATGTCTCCCCCGACTTTACTCGTTGCCGCGGTAGTCGTAGCCACCTGGTGGATGGCAAGTGCCAACTTTGGCGCGACGAGTTTTGCCCTCGGTAAGATTTTGCTCTCTTTCTGCTTAGCGAGGTGTCACCTGCAGCGAGGCTTGGTGGGAGTTCAGTAAGAACCAGCGAAGCCTGGCCGCAAAATATCTGCCAAGCCCCACTGAGGGTGTCGCCTCGCTAAGCCTAGCGTTTGAGATTGAATTTATACCATTTTGTATAATACCGTATAATACAGTATAAAAACCGTATTTTATTATTAATGATGTATTTTACTCAATATCTCAAAATTGGTACAAAATATTTCATCCAAGGTCGAGTAGCACAACTATTTAGAAAATGGGAAATACTACTTTCAATTGTAAAGTGCAAGGTTACAAATATGAGCTTATTGCTATCTAGTCATTCTTCATCAACATTGTTATACCTCAGCCTCTTCAATCCCCAAGCCTGAACACCAACTGATTGGCCCTTGTCATAATTTGATAAAAGGTTGTGCTCTACTATAGAAGATCTGATATAATCAGCTGTAGGTTCTTCTTCTGGGCCAATTTCACACATGGTCTCTTCCCCATCTGTGTCTCTCTCTAAACTGTCAATAATAATATTAGTAATTATCATTGGGTTATGGCTTAGGGTTGAAGATGTAGGATAAAAATCTTTAGGGCAGGTATGTATTGAATGTATGGTATAAAATATATTGTCAAAGATACGGTATTTTATCTTAATATACGTATTTTTGAAAACCCTAGCTAAGCCTTCGCATAGTTTAGTCAATAAAAGAGGGCTGTGTTATTGAAATAGGTCTTGACCCTTGTCGGTTACTCTTCTCTGTCCGAGTTCCGGTGATATGTGGCGAGTGAGATGTTCATTGCAAAGCCGAGTGAGTACTCGAGTACAGTACAGGGGTCTTAGCATCAAGAAAACAGACCGCTTTTGGAATATTTTCCGCCAATCTGTAGAAGTATGGTATTTATGCTGCTTTAATCAAAGCGGCGAAAAGACGCTCGTAAAAGCCTAAGATTCATATGATCACATGACATTTCCAGGGAGTTCGCAACCATGACGTGTTGTTTCTTTGTCAGCAGTTTGTCTATTATTGTGGACGCATGGTATCGATGAAGGGGGCAGAGAAAGGACCGAGAATTCATCAGGCCTCGGATAACTTAGCATGAGAATTCAGCACCAGCACAAAGGACCATATTGACGATTGCAGAGCCTTTCTATCTGCGACTTTCATTTTCCTTCCTCCTCCACCTCTATTTCTTCACCCGTCCAACCAGTCCATTTCTTGAGGAGTTGATACCCGGGCCCGGACTCAGAAGAATTCCCCTTTTCCGGTGTTCTCATCTGATCCTGACCCAGGGTCCCGAAGTGTCAAATACCCACGAAAGAACGCCTGAGCAAGAAAGAGCGTAGCAGTACTTGACACATGTCCAAAACTGCATCGACCCTATTCCGACTGCGAGTTTAATTCATAAAACTGCTACCCAACGTCAGATTTCAGATTTGCAATACCTGTTCGCGATTAATACCATTCCGATGCAGAACCCGATGCAGAATCTGTACGATGAGTTACGGGACCAGCCCTTCCCCATTAACCCAGGGTTTATGGTGCAGGTTCCCCTTGCTAACTATAGGATCCACCCGGATTATAAAATTCCAGTGTAATTATTCCAAATGGCTGAGGTTGAGGTCAATCTCCCATGTGGGGTCAGTGTTCCCAACGCTCCATGTAGGCTAGGCCGAAGGAAAGCCGGGCCTAGCCTACGAGAATTCCTGAGGATCTAGCCTGGACGGAGCTTATAGGCCTCAAACTTAACCGGGCCCGGCCCGGCCTACCTATAGGCTGTATAGGCTTCGTATTACCTGTTCTTTGGAGCTCGCTTAGCCAGATGTTTGCTTCCCTTTTGTTTTTAACTTCTGTTCAACGTGGTTTGCGCTCTCCCAAGCTTTCACCTGCCTAGCGAATTCTCTCTATGCATTACTACTCGGTCCGGTTGTAGTACTGTACCCATTCCAAATGATTTATTCTAGTGGAAAGGGCAAGTTAAAACCCTTCGCAAATTATAGGTAGTCAGACACATTCTCGTGAGTAAACCAAATCTAAACCTCTTACAGGCTTCCCAGGACGAAGAAAAAAACAATGAAAAATGAAAGAAACCAAATGCGAAGTGTTGGGAAAACTTTTCTAAACTCGACACCACGGTTTCCACGACAACATTTTTCCATTTCCAAGGGTCCTATAGGCGCCCACCAGGCGTGATAGGCTTCCGTAGGTTGATGGAAGTCTGCCTATATCGGCCTGGGCCATTCCTCGGAGTGGCCCGTTGGGCACACTGTGTGGGATGCGAAGGTTACTGGTGCGGCGGGAGTATCAAAAGGTCCACAAGATGCTGATCCAAATAGAAGCGGAGCGATGAGAGGGAGTTCGAATGGCTAGTACTACCCCGGCAGATTTTTCGAGATTGGACTTGGAAATTTCTGGTCAACTTAGACCAGGTGTGTTTCCCTCATCAGGCTTGCTTCTAGCGCCTACTCACTGTGAAATAGGAAAAACCTCTCCCTTTCGTATCTCCTTGTTTGCAGACTGAGCGCATGTAAACCGACTGTATATCGGACCAGTGATCAAAGCTGCTTCCCCTTTGGCGATGATGCTGGTGGAATAGAAGTAAGTGTTGACACATTGCCCCGCCTTTCTCCAGCCAAAAAAACGTAAGTTGTGGGTCCTTACATATCAGGCCCTAGACGACACCCGATGGAATCTGTTGACTTCGGGGTGGTTTGTTGTACTCGCTGCTTCCCCACAAAAGCTAATAGCCTCGAGTGGATGGGAAAAGGAGCGTAATCCTGAAATCATTGCCGCTTACTGGTAACCAACCTGTTCCTATTTGGTGAAGCTGAGCTAATAACCGGCTGAACTGTCAATAGCTTGAACCTTGAGGAGCTACCGACCTAAGATGAAATAAACTCTTTACCACATTTGCATACTTGGGCCCGGTGGCTAGAGCGTGTTTGGAGTTGATCATGGTGACCAGTGATCAGAAGTATAACAAAGGCCTGGAAATCTACCTTGGTAGGGTGGATAAGGGGGAATCGGTGGGTTTGTGGACCGGGGAGGGGGTGGGACGATTGAACATACTGTTCACGAAAATGGGTCAAAAAGAATAGCGATCATGCATCCTACAGAGTCAGGGTTATCCTATACAGCATGAATAATAACACGCTGAATGCCTACCGACTTTACGAAAAGTCCCTAAAGCGATCACAGCAGGATTGCTTCCTAGTGTTTAAACATCTTTGCCGTGAACCAACTCTCAGAAGCGCGGTAGGGTGGTTCACCGAAGGATATGTTCATGATCAGTTGCTGATAGGAGGGTGTTTTACCGCTGATAAAATACCAATCGTTGATGGCCCAGTGCCTGAATTGCAATTCATAACCACAAGGGCCACGGATGGGATAACTCGTTATTGTACTACTGCCGACAACTTGACAAATCACGTCAGGGCTCTTGGCGGCCGCGGTATCAACCCGCTCGTTTTCTCTCACCTATTTCCTTCCCTATTGTAGGAACTACCCATCCGTGGATGGGGTCTTATTTCATGATATGAAAACCACAATCTTGTTCCAGATTACGCTGGCTAGAGAGCATAAGATCAGAGCAGTTGGTGGGGCAGACCGTTTGAAATTACTGCCCAAAATAATCAAGAATGTCTCCTTTGTTCTTGTGGTTCCAGAAGGCCGTGCGAAAGACTATTCCAAAAGTCAACCAGTTCCGATCTCCGAGAGTATAAGCCCCCAAGGGCACAATTTGCATGTGGGCCAGTTTAGGCTTGTATTTTGGGAAGGATGTATGTAGAAAGTGGCTATTCAGGGCCAGCCTGCTTGGTAGGAGGATGGCGAGTCCGATGACATAGATAGTGACTGATTTGTGTCCCTGCAAGGAGGTTTGGTAAATGGGGAGAAACAGGAGTCTATAATCCCAATTACGGCAATTGCTTTGTATTATTCCGAAATTGTATCACTATAAAAAATTATTCTCCCTTGTTAAATCCATGGAATCTTCCATTCGCATGTTCAGAAAGGGGCGCGTTGATAAAAAACCGACATGAAATTGTTTTATCCCGCGCACTTCGATTACCGGTAACTTACCCCTTAGCCTCTCAATAGAGCATCTCGCCAGACAAAAAAATACAAAAAAAAAATGAAAAGGAAAAAACAATACAGCTATGATAACACTACCAATAAAACCGAATATAGATCTCCCCGTTATAGTGGTACATACTTACCGTATAGCATGGTATGTGACCGGTCCCCCACCGAAGGGAGGGGGGGGGAAGGAAGGAGGGGGGGGGCGGTGAGGTACCCATAGTTGGAGACAAGGGAGTTTTTCACCGAGATAGCTAATTTGCAATTCGATTGAATGCCACGTACTACAGTGTGAAGAAACCCTTTTTTTTCTTTTCATTTCTCCTTCTGTCTTCTCCTTCCTCACAGCCGAAAAGAACAAGTGCTAGGGCAGTAGGATACTCGTATCATGCTTGGCTTCCAAACGATCAGCATTTTGGGAAACCATTCCTTCCCAAATCTTTTGTAAACTAATAGGTCGTGCAAGCACCGCCAACCATCACCAACTCTTCCGATCACTTGGAGGAGTACTTTGTCGTTGCATTTGGTCTTAGTACCGGTAACTCCAAATTGATGAAAAGTTCGAATATGCTTTGATAATATTAGGTGTATCGAGAAAGGTACGAGACGTACTGTACTCGAGTATGATACCCACCCACATGGCGCCGGCAGCCCCCGCCTTTGCATTGTCCTATCGTAGCGGGTTAACCAATCGGCGGGTGACCAGTCCGCCAAGTACGATACTTGAGTATCATACTTGGGTAGAGTTTGGAATTCTTGGCAATCTATAACTTCTCTTGAAGACGGGGACCAGGGATTAAGCCAAGAGCAAACCGATCACATTGTCACATTATCCCCTCCTGGATAAAAAATATTCCTCAAAAAGAACCATGCAGGTGGTGGGATGTTATACCTTCCCACCACCATCAGTACTACTTATCCCATGTTA